CAGCTGTGTGCACAGCCTGCAGAAATAAAGCGTCAGCCATGAGTGCCCTGAGGGGTCTCAAGGGAAAGCGGCTCTGGGGGTGATGCTCTATGTGTCCCCTAAGGTAACACAGAGGCCTGAGAAAACCTGGTGCAGGCAATAAGGGTTTTAAACCTTTGACCACCAAAAACACCACTTTGAAGCACAAATGGAAATGAATCTTTTTGTGTTTTATGCCAGAGAATAACCTTACCTGGGGGCCCTGAGCAAGCAGCAGATTGCAAGCAGTGCCGTGCTTCAAAAGAGAAGCACATGAGCAGCGTTAGACAAAAGCCTGTGGAAGGCAGATATGCCTTGGGCCCCAAACCACCAGAGTTCATTTGAGTTGAAAAGAATTTACAGAAAACACGTAGGAGTAGTGCAGGAAGTAAGATGATTGTATGATGCAAGAAAGACGATGGATTTTTAGATGGAAAGGAAGCATAGAGGATGGATTTTCTCTCTGTTAACCCTGTTTAGCTTAAGATCTCAGAACAGAGAGAATGCTCCATCTTTTCCTACAGTTAGTAAGATGCCTGTTTTCAAATATCCATTACAATTCTGCCCAATTCATTTTAACTGACTCTTAAAATTGACTACCTTCCTGGCATTCCAAGAAAAAAAAAAAAAAGAAGAAGAAAAATTAAATCTCTATTACTTGGAAACAATAAATATTTACTGCAGAAATTGGGTTCATCTCAGAAGGCTGATAAAAGGGGGAATGAATGATTTACTGCTTTCATTATTCAAGTTAAATAAATCTCCACCTTTCCAAGCTATTGAAAATGCCAGAATATGCAGTTATGTTGGCAGAGCGGATTACATTTGATCTATGTACCATGACAAGTACTGAAAATTGTGGGCTTCATTGCTGTATTCACCCACACCTTCCTGAATATAAGAATAAAGTGTCAATACAAAGAGCAGCCTTTGCTCTGTGCTTTCAGCGTAAGAGAGCATGAAGCTGCTCCGAAGATGGAATGAGTACACAGACTGGCTCCATGGAAACAGGGAGAAACTCCCTTTTTAACTCTTCCAACTGACATTCAGGCTGTGGCATGAAACAAACATTTTCCTACTCATGAATGTTTTATTTGCATATATCATAGTTCTGACAGTTAACTCTAATGCTAACAAAGGCTTTTTTTTTTTCCCTAGTATATGGATGAAATCTTAATCACTGTGGAAGCAAACAACTTATCTGATTCAATCTGGTTTCTGTATCATTTGAAAAGGAAAGTATTTTAACATACTGTAATTGCTTCAAAAGAGTACGATGATTTTCCTGCAGAGCTCAGCAGATGGGCATCTCTGATATCAAACCACAGTCTGAGTTTCTTTCACATATTTTGGGAGGTTGGTAAGTGTACTGTAATAACTTGGAGAATTTTAATGGATTCTGCTCCTCATTAGGATTACTGTTATTGCTCTATCGCAGCCTGCGAGCATAGCCCATGCTGCACTCAAACACAATCCAACCACCACCAAAAAAGAAATCTGGAAAACGCAATGCCAGAATTTTCAACCATTGCCAGAAGTACAATGAGTTGTCTTGTTTATTTTCTAGCTCACTTCATCTAAAGACTTATCTTTATAGTACCAGTACCCATGCAAACAAAACCCTCAGAATTTATGTAAGTTTAGCTTTTTGACTCTAGAAAGGAAGCGCCTTGTTTTATGCCATCTAACACAACAGGTATCACCAGAACTGACATCTAAATCAGAAAACTGAGACTGAGATCTTATAGCAAGCTTCACTAGCACACTTAAAAGCAAAAACCAAGACTGTGAGGAAAGTTTTATTTGACTTGTTTTAATGCCCACATCCTAAGATTAGAAATATTAGAAAAAAAAAACTGCAAAGAAAAGGAAAGAAGCAAAACAGAGAGATCTTTACATCTTGACGAAAGCAAGAAAAAAAAGCTAGGCACAAATTTACATTCATTAGCTTCAGATATGGCAGAAGAATGTTCTACTGCGGAAGGGTAAATAAAACTCTGCTTTCCCACCTCCTAATATTAGACAGCTCAAGTCATGCTCTTCAAAGCCACAGTGGTCTTGTAGATAAAACAAGGCAGTTTTTCCTCATTTTTTTAATAACATGATTGTGATTTAAATATCAGAATTCTAGAGCCATTTGGTGTAGCCTCTAAATATGTAATAAAATATTGAGTAGCTACTTCAGCCAGTAGTGAAGCTTGTTATAACAACCTCCATATAAAAACTGAAAATCATGCATACTTGCAATTCTGTTTAAGCATCAGAAGCTATTGAAGGATTTTATTGTGCAGCTGCTAAACCATTTTAAATCCCTGTTCAGTGTTAAAACCTTGCAAGTGTCAGCCAGAATCATTTAACCCCTTGAGAATAAGGGTTCATTACAGAAGAGGCAAATACCTTATCTCAAGAGTTTCAACACCAAATATATATCTCATTTGCTACTAATAATGAAAATTTTCCTTTATATACAATATGCTGGTGAAAAAGAAAACAAGAAAACATTTTGTAATGATACCTCACTCACTAAGCTGGAAGGCAGACGGGTGCTCAGCCATAACCTGCTACTCCACGCTGCAAAACAGCCGTGTGTGACGCGGCTGCTCTGCCGAGTAGGAGCTGTGGGAAGCCCGGCTTGGGCTCACGTTGGAAGGAGTTTATTGCAGCAGGGCACTTACCAAGCCCTTCAGGTCGGGGAGAGCTTCTTGCACAGGAACATCTCTGAACCCAGGGATCTGACCAGCATCCTTTAAAGCCTGCAGGAACCACTTTCTTTTGGTTTTCCTCCCTAGCTGCAATGCATTTTACTGCGGGAGGTAAAAAAGAGCACTAATGAAGTAGGGACTTTTACAAAACTCTCACTTCCTCCCCTATAAAGGGAAAACTGCTTTGTCTCAGGAAAAATTCTTGGCTTGTGCAGGAACAAGTTAGTGTTGGTGGTAAAGGGAGGGGAGCTCAACCTTCAAAAATCTCTAAGTGATTCCTCTTTACCTTCACGGGAAGGGCAGCTTCCCTGTTTGGAATAGGGGCTAAGGAATCAAGAAAAAAAAAAAAGTAGTAAAAGCATCTTACTTCCATTCGATTGACTAAGAAATTACAGTTTCTTAGCTTAAAAAGCCATAAGACAAGTTAGCATTCGCTTCATGGGACCCTTTTTTAGTACTCTTTCCTGTAAGGATGTGAAAAGACCGAAGTCAGCCACCAGTTTCTGACCTTATACAAGGCAGCCAAGCTGCCCCAAGCACCAAAGCCTAAAGACATTCAAAGCAGTAAATAAATACACATAAAACAACTCTAAAAATCTGAAATGAACAGCATTGATTCTTTAGAATTACAGTCCAGCTTATTACATTAATCTTCACATTTTAGCATCTTCTTAACTACTGTACAAAGCTGCTGAAGTTACTCTTTCTTCTAAACCAGCCATATAAGAGCACACAGCACTATAAAATATTTTTTGGCAAAGTATCTTGCTTTCAGAATTTAACATGCTTTCGAATCGTAGCCCACATGTAACACGTATGACATACGAATAATGCAACCTCCTCTGTTTCTCCTTTCACTGCGTGATAGCAGGAGCAAGAAACCTCCGAAACCTTTCTTCATTTCAATTAACTACCCCTAAATCCTTCTCAAAACAGTTTGTTTCACAAAGCTTTACCAAGGGTGCCGTTCCTCACTTTGCCTCACCATTTTCTTGCTTATTGCATCAAGCTAGTCTCCAGGATAAGCCACAGTCTGATGCACTGGTAGAGATGCTAGAGATGTTACATGCTCTACACTTACCTTATTGTAAGAGTCTCAGGAACATTATCTACTCATTTCACATTTACTTTTCCCTTGCTTATTTCCTTCCCAAATTTTACCAGCAGAAATCTGAAGAGGTAAAACAAAAAGATTTTTATTCTCCAAGTCCATGCACTGACTTTTGCCTTCTACAAAAGCTCTGGCTTCTTGATTTTTTTACTCATAGAAACATAGCTGGATAAGAAACAAATCACTTCCGAAAAAAAAAAAAATGGAAGCCTAAAGTCATGAAAGCCCCCATTTCCTTCTCCCTGGATACCTCCTCAATCTGAGGTGGGGATTTGGGACCATATATAGACTAAAGCAGGAGATAGGACAGGCACAACCCTCCACCCTCATATGTGGCATTACAATAAGGACTAAACGGATCACTGCAAATCTCACAAAACCAGGACTGCCTTGAGGCCGGCGCGCTCCCGCGCTGCCGCCTCGCACTAGCTTCCAACTCAGCACACCATCCAAAGCAGCCACATTTCAGGTGCCATCTCTGAAGTTTCATGACATTTAATTAAGCAGAGCCCTTCTCAGCACTGCAAGGACATAACACCCATTTGGTATCTACCCAAAACTACATTTATTTATTTATTTTACTATAAACAAATTACGTATTAGAAGTTGTTTCCTTTCTAGCAGCTTGACCCCAATTCTCCAGCTACCTGCTCTCATAATCCTTTTCATACCTGACATCCACTAGCTGCATCTCTAACTGCCTTGCACATACCAGTGATCGACACTGCTCTTCACCACATCTCTGCCTATGTTCTTCATGAAAACTGTTACTGGCCAATTCTGAAACAGAGCAAGGCACTTTGATGGATGTTAAATTCTTTGTGCGTGCACAGACAGGATACAAATCCCTCCCCTCCTCACACTAGTTTGTGTGAGAAGCAAACAGAGACTTCATTGGTGCCCTACATGAGGACCACCATGGTACAGAGTCAGTCATCTGGCCTGCCAAGAACAGCAGCACAGAGGGAACAGACCAACTCCCTCAGAGCTTCAGACTGGTTGCAAAAATCTGAATTTTACTTCAGTGCTTTGCAGGAGTATTTCTTCCTTGGTGGGAGAAGAAATCTCTGCTAGTCACATTGCATGTGTTAAAACACATAAGGTAAGATCAGCAGTAATGTCTGTAGAGACACAGCAGAGAAATAACATTAAAAATTCCCAAAGCAAACGAGTCCCCATAAATTATCTTTCAGAACCTAAGGGTGAAGTAGAGAATTTACCGATGATGGTCCTGCTCCCCCATGTGATCATAAACATCAGGAAACATCTCCCAGATAACACATGGCTGGAATGGGTACATATGTTGCCTCATTCTAGAGAATGGGGCAAAAATCTAGGCATAGGCAGTTTATGGTTCATATGACACATTAAAATAATAAAAAATAGAACACAAAGGCAGAACAAAGGAAAAATTCAAACCATAAGCTGGCAAGTGGTCCAGGATCCATCCCAGCAAACACTGCTGGCTACAAAAGCAGAAGGTCCCACCAGGTTACTGTGTGTTGAGATAGTCTTGCTGCCACCACTGACCATTGCAGGCAGTTTTAGCCTTTTTTAGGAGGAAAAAGTGTTCTTGTATAAAACTGTTTTTCCTCCCATGATTGCCATCAGATGAGCTCTTTGAGGGGTTCGTTTTCACCAGGAAGGATTCCGTTCATCTCGGGGAAGGTCTCGGTGCCCAGATATCCCAAGAGGATCTCACTGCGCCGCCGTGAGAGATGCAAAATGTCTTCGGCCAGCGACTGAACCGATGTGTATCTCACGTTGTCCAGGTCAAACATGTCCTTCAGGTATTGTACTATCTGGTGCTGCAGAGATACAAGGAAGGTTGACAGAAGGAGACCTTCCCTCACCCTTTTCAGTACCAACTGCCTAGACTGCAGCAAGCAAGAGAATCCCATAAGGAACTATGCTTGTCTGCCAGCAAGTAAAGATCCACTTCAGGGTACGAATTCCTTCTGTGCTAAACCACTCATGCCTATCAAACAGGACAGCAGAGCTCTTAAGGTCAGAAATACAATAGTAATCTCTATGGCAATATTCACTGCAAACATTTTGTGAATGCAAAATCAGACTCTCATTATTTCATCAACAATTAAACAGGATTTAAGCTTTATGATCAAATGTGGAGCTTGAAAGGTGCCTTGTACTCTTAGGCAACTTATTCTTTCAGCATATGCATATATATCCTTACTCTTTTCCAATATGGGAGGTACGAAGTAACCTATCTCATCACACCTATTTTTGCTTTCAGCATGGTAAATCATGATGGGGATTCTTATCGATCTTAATTCGGCAATCTGCATTTCAAAGAACAGTGATGTTTAGAAGACTTTTGTACAGAGACGAGTTGCTTAATAGTATCGCAATCAAAAAAAAGCCATCAAAAGCACCAATCTGTTAGCTTTAAGTCACAAGACAGTAGGACGCCCTACGCAGACAAAGTATCGAAAACTCAACTTACCTTGAAGAAAGCGCAGACTTCAGATAGCTGCTCTTTGGGCCCCAGAAAACCAAAGGCTAAAACAGGACTGACATGCTCCGATACGGAGTAGAAATGAGAGATAAAGCCATCTGGTACCTGCCATGAGGAAGGAAAAAATTCTTACCTCTCAGTTCTCAGACAGAATTACTGGCTTATTCCATATAATCCACCAAATCCCATGCCAAAAAGCCCTGCATTTCAGTAACTAAAGAGCTACACAGAACATATCTTCCAGCAAAATTACTGGAATTTATCTTTTAGAACCCTTGAAGGATTACTTGAGCTTTCTATATTTGTGTTTCTCAATTACTATTCTGGGAGGAAATTAAAAGAAGAAAATGGAAGGCAACCATCAGGCTATCTATACAGTCCGGAGATTATATGGAGAGTCTTTGGTCTAACATGAGAAAGAGCATGCAAGTATCTATGCTTCTCCTGAATGAAGTGACCAGTTCAAGCAGAGCTACTGCTTGACAGTGCCAGGCCAGCTTCCAAAGCTCTCATCCCACGAGGTGAACCCAGTGGTACCATCTGGCTGCGGGATAGGAGTTGAAAACTTGCCAGATGCCACAGCCCTGTGGCAAAACCGGGGTTGTGAAGCTGTGATTTCCTGTTCTCCAGGTCCACAAACTCATCTGCTGTGGGACTTTAGGAAGCCATGGGGCTAAGGGAATCACATTAAGCAAAAGCTGGTCAAATGGCAGTGCTGGGAAGCAAAGCTTCCCAGATTCACTGTGCTGCTAGAGAGAAAATACAATTCAAGAGCAGTTCCTTGCTGGCTGTGGCCATTCCTACAGAATTATAAGCGGGGAGATGCAAATAGGGGAGATTTGTTTGAATCCTCACATTACGAAAAACAAAGAATAAAATCAGAACTGACTCCGGAAAAACTGTTGTGGTACTAGAGTGAAGGCATTAACAGCAGGACAGCGCTCCCAGTGTCACAAAGAATACAATTCAGTTCATTCTTGTACCACTTAGGTGCTGCATTTTGGCAAGATATCTTTATAGATAAAAGTTATATCTTTTTAGCTTCAACTACTGTACATTCTTTCCCTTTTAATTTATTTTACTTACCATCAGCAGCCTCCTTTTTGCTTTCAGGACTGACCAGCAGGCAGTTGCTAGGGCCTACAATTAAGGTAGAGAGACAGTGACCTACTGGATATACTTTCTAGAAAAACAGAGTTCAGCAACACGTTGCCAGCAAAACATTAAAGTGGCCCTTTTGTGGCCAGCTCTAAAATTAGTTACAAAATCTAGCAGAACTGGAAGCACATTTGGCCATTCCAGATTTGTTGCAGATCAGCCAGAGTGTGTTTGAAGATTGCTAATGCAATCTTGCACAGCTGGCAAGCACCCCAGCATGCAGACTGTAAGCAGATGACTGTTGGAAGGTACTTTCCAACCATCATCTTCTCAGTCCTCAAAACGAATTATTCTGATGTATGTATCTGGCCAAGATTAAACTGAAGTGCTGTTAGTCATGCCTCTATCTACTGAGATACTACCAGAGCGAACAGCCAGCTGCAAAGAAAACACTGTTTTTTTCCCCCCATCTTTTGATCCTCTTTTTCTCATTCATGAAAATATACACTGTTATCTTTTAAAATCTCCATGGCATCGCTGAGAATGGCTGTTAGAGAAATAAGTCTATTGGAGCCAACGCAGCTGCTTTCACAGGACAGTTTTCCTGTAAACAATTTATATGTAGCAGAAGTCTGTTGTTTGGAGTTTCAGGAAGGCAAGGTATTTTTAAAGGGGAAAAAAAATCATTTTAGCCAGGACAGCCAAAGTTAAACCCTTTTCTAGCGTTGGCAATTGGGACTACCCAATTCACGCACCGTCTCCTTGAAGCTGTCGGAGAGCCAGCGGTTGCGCAGCACAGCCAGCACGGAGGAGGGAGGGTTCTCCAGGTCCTCAAAAGCATCCATGAGGATGAAATCCAGCACAATATCAAAGAAGCTCATGCACACCACCTGCCAGAGAGCAGAAGAGTCTGTTAAGGAACCACACTTAAAATGGGACCATTTCGGAGATTAATTTTATTCTTTCGGTAATTTAGGGGCACACCCCAATACTTCCCCCACCATCTATGGTACAATTGCAAAATAATTGTACTTTAGAAGGTCTTTCATTCCTGGGCCATTCCTACATATCAGTTATTCCAACTTCTCTGCAATTTTCTAGAGAGAAAGTCTTTACCAACCCCTCTTCCCTCCAGCTCCTGCTGAGTGGTTGGCCACGTCTCCTGTTTCAGTGCATAATGCAGCATCTCTTCATAGCTTTCCAGAAAAGCTTTAGGATTCTGAAAGAGAAGGGGGGCCGAAAATAAACAAAAACACAAACATTTCAACCAGTGAAACAGTTGTGTGGACATTTAAAGTCTGACCAATCTATTTTAAGCTTGACAAACAACATATGCACCTGGCAAAAGTATTTAGCCCAAATGCAGCTTGCAAAAGGAGAGAATTAATTTCTGGAAGGCTTGGACATCACGGGCTCAGCTGCTGTCATTGCAAGCACCTGTGTTGCTCGACTCTTCAAGGAAGTGGTTAGAGGCACCTATACACAAAGTGGTTCCAGTAAGAATCATTTTTTCCACTGTGTAAGTGGAAACCACTGTTTAGGGGATGGCTAGTGACTAAATGAGTGATCTGAGAAACGGCACATGGCTGATGCAAAGATGGGATTATTTTCTCCCTCTCTCACATTCAAGGAGAGGATGCCAGCTGATGCTCTTGGTTCCCTCTCTGCTCTCTATTGAGGTACAGTATTGGACTATGGACAGGAGCTGCAGAGAGCTGCTTACAAGACAGAATTTGATTAAACAAAAGGAAAAAAAAAATTCACTCGGGTGCCAGAACAAAGATGAAACATTCTCCTGAGTTGGGATGGAGAAACAACACTCATGGAATCGCAGAATGGTTGAGGTTGGAAGGGACCTCTAGAGATCATCCAGTCCAATCCCCCTGCTCAAGCAGGGACATGGAGCACATGGCACAGGGTGGCATCCAGGTGGGTTTTGAAAACCTCCAAATCACTCTTACCCTCGCCCTATTCCTGCTCAGTAGATATTCAGGAGAATACACGGCAAGATCATGTACAGTTTGACTTTGTGTGCCTTCTACATGTCAAAATATTGCTCAAGACAAATGTTACGAATACCTAAAACAATTCAAATATGATTAAAAAAAAGAAAAAGAAAACAGCAGTACTTTGGAGTGGGCCTACACGCTTTGTTTCCTTTCTGAGATAAACTGATGGAACTGCATAAATTGATGGAATGAGAGAGTTGAATCGAGAAAAATACACTGAAAAGCACTGGGAGGAGAACAAGAGGAAATAGACAGGGAGGTGAAGGCACCAGTGTGGAGTCCTGCTCACAGGAAAAACCACGTTTAGAGAGATCCTGAGAACAGACATCTGGATGGCATTGACATAAATGACCTTGCTACAAAGTAGTGGCAGCAAAAGCTCTAAAATACTGCAGGAGATGTCTGAGAAAAGGACCAAGTTTTCCTTCAGATTGAATAACTCACAATAATTCTACCTCCTTTCACGAATATTTCACAAAAATACTGAAAAAGTTTTGGAAAAAAATGTAAAGCTAATTAAGGGAACTTCTTTGTAACCTCTAAGACTTTCAATAATCTGTGAGATTCTGATGATTTTATCACTCCTAACATGCCTTTTTAACCTCCCTTTATCTTCAGGCCTTCTCCCCCTGGTTCCCCTCAGGCCTACTCCCCTTGAGTAACCACAGAAGTGTATTAACCTACCACAGTGGACACCTATGGACACCTACAGGGAAGTTTCTTCCCAAATAAAGATAGATTAGGCAAACCTCTCTCAAGACAAGAGGGATTAAACTTATTAAAATAGTTATTAAAAACTTCTAAGTGAAAGGATCATTTCATCATTTACTGTGTTCACATGACGCAGTCGAGTGATCATAAAAGCTTCCTACCTTCTCAGCTTTTGTCATTAGTCCTGTCACCATCTGCTTTCCAACCTCGCCAAAAAACAGCTGGTTGCTTTCATCCTCCAGCAGCACCTGCAAAGGGAACACAGGAATCTCCTTGGAACCTCTGGCCTGTGTGAACCCCGAATTTGGAGCAGGGAAAGGGAGGAAAAAAAAAAAGGCGGGGTGGGACAGGATAAAAAGCAGCAGTGCTGTGTAGATAGACCTGTACCATTAGCCTTTAATAGCCCAAATTCCAAAACACGAAATTGCTTTCTGCAGGAAGAAAACTCAAAATTAGGCTGGAAGACTAGAGGCAGCAATAATGAAGGCAAGGGAGCCAGTGAGGCCAGGGCCCAAGACCCTTCTGTTTAGGTTCTAGAAATACTTTGCTTACAAGGCCATTGGAGTGAGGAGACAGAAACCTTGCTCCTGTACCACAGAGGTTTGAATCCAACCCAGTTAGTGTGGAAAAAATCCCATATGGAAGTAACAGCAGCTCTGAAATTCCCAAACTTTCCCTTCCCAGAATGGCAATGGACAATGTCAGAGGCCATACAGCCTCCACTCAGCAAGGCATGGAAATCAGATCCTCTCCCTCGCCAGATCAAAGTGATCAGGACAGGATTACAAAGCAAAAAAGGGAGGCTTGAGCTGCTGCTTCTGCTTTTTCTTGCTGTAGAGGGGAGAAGACTTCACTTTTGTACAGGTGGCAGAGAAGAAGGTGCTGCTGAGAGCCACTCAGGTGTCCTTACCTGGAAGGCCTGCCTGACACAGTGCAGTTTCGCTAGGAAGTCCTGGTCATTGTAGCAGCCTAGAAGCTCTGTCCTGGGGCAAAAAGAGAAAGATTGCGTACATTTCAGCTCTCCAGATGCCTCTTTTCCCCCTAAAACTCCTAAAAAATCCCATTCTCTGCCTAGGGTAAAGTAACAATCACATTCCCTCATACAGCGCACCAGGGCAGCATAGCACCTCTCCAAAGGCTGCTATAGCACAGCCACATGGAACAGTTAATTTCTCATTAGTGATTTTCTGGGACAACTGCCCTGCTTATTAACATGCACGTCCTGAAATCTGGGGCTAGTTCTCAGAGAGGTCCAAACTATCAGGAAAGATACTAAGAGTTCCCTGTCCCACAGGGTTATTCTAGTTCCAGGGCTGCTCTACGACAAACCTTGTGTCCACAGTGCACAGAGGAGCTTTGATGCAATGACCCAAGGCTCCGGCCCTCACCTCAGTGTCCGGCACGCAACCTTCCCTTCTTTCACTAACTGCAAAGCTTCTTCATAGGCAGCTACTGGCTTAGAAAGATGGAATGGTATTTCATCAAACTGGAGAGAGTCAAAGAGCTGTGAAGACAGCAGGAGACATGGGAAGAACAAAAGGTCTTGTTAAATATTCACAAACATACAGAAATTGCACACAAGCAAAAAGTGCCTCCTTTAATTCACAAACTCTTGTAAGTACCAACTATTTCAGGCAAAGATATTTGTTGGCCCACTAGTTTCAAAGCTGCCTCAACCTTGACACAGCTCAATATCCCCCAAACATCTGCACAATCCTGCCACATTATGCAGTATTTTTCTAGCTGTACACTTTCAATACAACACCGTAAAATAACAAGGAAATGGTTGGATAGGAACTATGGAGTTTTCTAGGCCAACTTCCCACTTGAAATGGGACTTATGCAAACACTAGATCAGGTCAGTCATGGTTTGGTCCAGAAAAATCTTGAAAAATTTCATGGATTGACAGCCCCAGGCCTTTCTGAGAAGGGCTGCACCACTCTCCTGGTGAAATAGCTTTTCCTAAAGTGCAACATGAACCTCCAACGACTCATCCTGGGGCTGCTGCTCCATGTTTTATCATCTTCCTCTAATAAGATGTCTTTGGATCCACTGTCTTTGCAGCTCCCCTCCCAGCATCAGCAGATGTTGACATACAACTGGAAACTTAAGTCACCTCTGCTGCAGAGAAGAAGGAATCCTCAGAAATGGAGCTCTCTTCATCATCTGTCCGAAGCCGCAGTGACCCGTCTGCCAATGGAAGCATTAGAGTCTTCTCTGGAGAAGAGGAAAAAACGTATGTGCCACAAACTGTATGGACCATTATTCTTCTTGGCCACTGCACTCTCCTTCTCACCCTCCCACACAGTTATTTTTTTCACCACTTCATTGCCTGGCTTATAGAAACAACATAAAAACAGAGGGAGACAAACAGTCCTTCTAATTAATTGCTAACCCCGCTCCCATGGCCAGCTCACCCAGATCCAGCAGCACGGTGTCCGAGGGAAGCGAAGACCCAAACTCTTCCTGCAGGTGATAGGCTCTGTGCAAGAGGGATTCCAGCTTCTCAGCAAACTCCCTTTTCTGGGACTCCTTTTTGAACATACACAAGTGTCACTATTAATTAGCCCACCAGACAGAGACAGATTGACAACACAAATATGGAAGGAAATTCTCGTTTAAATAGGATTTACAGTTTGGAGATTAACGGTTAAAAAAAAAATAATTAATCCTACAATACAGCTAATAATGCAAGGGAAGAGGGAAGCTACACAGCCTACACAAACATTGGCATTTTTATCTTCAGAATTTATTTTGGTTTTCTTTTAAGAAAAGAAAAACAGAAAACAAAACAAAAGAACAAAAAAAACCCCATAATTTTAACTGCTATCCAGAGAAATAGGCCTTTTAATGAGTTGCAGATCACTTAATTCTCTTTATTTATAAATTTTCCCTAATTTCAAGAGGGAATGTTTGTTCACATCAGAAAACTGTATTAGATACAACAGAGTATCCAGAGCTGGACAAGGAAATTAGAGCATTTGGAATAAGATGCTGGGCATAAGCAAAGTTTGCTGTTATGACAGAGGGATAGAAATAGTGAAGGAGAATAATAAAGACTTACACAGCATCTGGCCTTCATAGCCTGTGTCTGCATGAATATCTCACCCAGCAGATAGAAGCATTAACAAGCATAAAATCTATTTTGATAATGAACTAACTGTTTCTAGGGCTGTTGAGGAAACACTACAGGGTACTTCAAGGAGAGACAGCAAGAACAGAATCCAGATTTGACATGGATAAATATTATCCACCACAGAAGACAAACATCCTGCATACTTACTGCACCGGGCCCTGTTTATAAGAGCCTGGGAACATCTTTCACCAACACAAACTCCTGCAGAGTTCACAGTTTAGCTCCTCTCGTGATCCTGGGCTACAGCTACTCTCTTTTTAGCTCTGTGGTCACCACTGAGCCTTTTTAGCTTGGATCTCCCCTTTTATCTTCCCAGAATAGTCCTCAGGTCCAAGACAAAACCATATTGTCCTAAAATACTTGTTCTGCAGCTGTAGGTAGAAGGAGCTACCTGTCCCCTTGTCCCAGTCGCTCAGCAGACAGGCACACTTAGCTTTACTCATTAATGCACCGAGGCATCTGGCCTCTCCTTCTCCTCCCAGCTCCCTAGGAAGCGACAGTGACAGTCAAGATTTCCACTTTCAAATGTGTTAGTAAGCTACAGACACAACAGCGCCAGGCAAAAAGCTATTTTTTCCTCTCAGGTGATGGGTTTGCTATAGTCTTTTCCTACACGATGACAGCAACTGACATGAGATGCTAATGCAGAAGGTGGGTAGAAACACTGGAGATGTGAGGGGGAGAAACTTACTAAAAAGCAGCAGCAATTAAAAACACACCCACTCAAACTGGATAAGGAAGCTGCAGATACAGACAGCTCTTAAACAGTCTGGCCCAACTCTGCCTCGAATTTGCTCTTCAGTGTTTAACCTCCTACTCATTACCAGGTCTAGCATCCAGTCTGGCCTTTCAGCACATTCCCCAGCTGGCAAAAGCAGGGAAGGAGTCGGGACCTACCTCTGGAATGCCCTCAGACATGGACTCTTGGTGTTTCCTGCCGTCCCAGGGCACCGGGGTGCTGGTACTGATGCTGTCCCTCTGCCGGATGGTCAACGCCTGCTCCCACTTCTGCAGGGCCTCCTCAAACAGCTCCATGCCTGGTGACGTGACCGAACACAAGCTGTGAGATCCCAGAGCCGCACAGGAACAGAGGGAAACAGGGAGAATCCTCACGCACTCGGGCAAGCCAGCAAAGAGAAAAGCCTCTCCCAAACTGATGAAGAACATTAAATTTACTCTGTGCCTTTCCCTTTTAAATGTGGTTTAATTTGGATTAGAAGTTAATGAGAACAATCCCAAAACATCAACCACATTACTTTCAAATTACTACTCTCCTCACAAAAGTCATGGACAAACCTGTTGTTGGAAGAACAGTATCTTAGAAGCAAATTATTCACTGAGGTCCCAGAGAAGACTTGTGTCTGTTGGTCTTCTCTAAGTGCAAGTAGAATTTTGTAGCTATCAGGAGCCTGAGTTTAAGTTAAAGACAAGAGAGATTTTCTGATCTGAGAGCAAAGGCACATCCATATGGTACCAATACAGCTCGATGCAAATTCACACACCATTTCTGCTTTTGCAAAGAGAAATGACTCTCCCAAGGTGATGTTACCCTTGTTCTTGTTTACCTTGAACATAGAGACTTTCTGCACTGGAATCACCAGCTGCTCCAGCATCCCCCGTTGCCTGGGTGTCCCATGGAGCTGCTGATGCTGGCATTGGACTTGAAGAGTTCACTGCTGCTATCTGCAGGAAGGGAGCAGCAAATGCCTTCTGAATCAGAGATGAAACCACCCAAACACCACCAAGGAAATCTGAATGATAAGCTATTTCCCCATGTCCACCCCAGTGACTGCCTGGTGTCTGTATTCCCTCACCTTTGAAGACGAAGGTATTAAGGGTTCAGGCTTTGATTCCACTTGTGGCTGAGCCCCTCTGAGAGCTTTCACCTGGCTTGCAGCTACAGTCCAGCTTTGTGCCAGCTCTGAGCTTCAAGGGCCCTTCCATGAGTTCAATTCTCTAACCCAGCAAAACCTATCCCCATTTCCTGGCCCAGGGAGCTGGGTGTTTTTGGAGACCTTTGCAGCACCAGACAGGACATGGAGGTGAGGGTCTCCCTCATTCCGACACCCTAAGGCACTGGTGCTCAGCCCTGACTCCGGCTCAAGCTGTCCCTGCCAGGACATGCTGGTGACCTACACAGCATGGTCAGTTTCTGCCAAATCCCTGCTTCTGGGCTGATTTTTATTATTATTATTTTTTTATGTTTAAACAAAAGTAGAAAAAACAGATTTCCAGTCCCTACAGCTTAGTGAAAGATGTCCACATGTGACCCTGTTAGAAAACAAGCTACCCTGAACAGCTCACAGATGTGCTCTGGCCCTCCCTCCATCGATTAATCTTTGTGGAATATTAATAAATCACCTTGAGGTCCAGAACTGTATGTCAGCAATTCACTGCTGCTGACTTATTTACCAGATGGCAAGGAAGAGCAGAGGGAAGCAGATGACAGCGTGCAGAAACTGCAGTTGTGTGAGGGGTGAGCTGTTTTCCCCATCAATTAACATAACGAGCACAACGTCACAGAAACTTTGTCCCAACCCCATGAGAAGCAAATACAGGAAGAGATGTCTCTCTTCTGCCCCTCGTTCATGCATAAGCAGTGGTAAAAAAAATAATAAAATAAAATAAAATAAAAAAGAACTTAGAGAGTTTCCTAGCCTGGATCTCTGCAAAAAGGTAGAGAACCTAGTTCACAAACATGGAAAGCAGGCTCTGAAATGGTGCATTTGCGCCAGTTATGGTTATGGAAGCCAGCAGTTACATTCCTCAAAGGATTAAGTCGAAGTCACAAAGCTAGCTAAGAAGAGACTGACTTTTGCTGCTAGCTCCCCATCCTCTGCCACAGGCAAATTCACTAGATCAGTTGGGAAATAGGGGATCCCAAAAGCAGGGCTGGTTTGCTGGCTTTGTATTTGTTTCTCAACTACCAGAATTACAGATACCCTATAAACACTGCATTTGGTTGGCAAATTCCTCCTCAGGCCCCAAAGAAGAGAAACACTTCAGCACTATAAAATACAGACTATATCTGTGGGAAGGGAGAGGCCCCGGGGGAATTAAACGGATGTGAGAGCATCTGGACACAGAGAGGCCAGGGCTGGATACAGCCTGGTCTGCACTGACATGTTGCAGGAACCTTCCCACCTTCTCCCAACTCAGCCAGCAACGGTGCAGGGCTGCACACCCAGCACTGCACACCCTGCACATGCTGCACACCCAGCACTGCACACCCTGCACACCCTGCACATGCTGCACACCCTGCACTGCACACCCTGCACACCCTGCACACCCTGCACATGCTGCACACCCTGCACTGCACACCCAGCACTGCACACCCTGGACAGCCCGCACACCACGCACTCCACCC